AAGGTGGATAGAAGAATGGATGAATGAAAGGATGGATGATGGATGGAAGATATGAAGATGGATGGATAGATAGATAATTTAATTATGGGGATTTTTTTAAGACTCCTTCATTGGACTAAATTAAATTTCTGATGAGAGTAGAAAGACATTCATTTAGGGGAAGCAGAGGTGATGAGAAGTATTCAGTAAATCTTTGTTAACTATGGTAGTAGATAATTGTGAATGCTACATTTTGAATAACCATAAAATCACAAGTGTTCTGTTTTCTCAGAACCATCTTCAGATACAAATTTAAAGTCCATATTGTCAGCTGTTTTAGGAGCAATGAATTTGAAAAGTGTAGTACCTTAGTCACTGTAGTGTCCAGTGTGTGTCAGACAGTAGAGAGACAGTGGGCAGTTAGCAGAGACACTTGGGAATTACACTCCAGTTCTTTCAGTCTACCTGGACATGTGTGCTGTTAGTGTAGGAAGTAAATTAAGAAACAGGAACAGAACACAGAGGGGTTCCTATGAACCTGCTCGTGTATGCGTGACAAAGGTCGTACCTTCTGATTGAAAACTCAAGCACATGCATCCACGAGCAACTCCCCGTGCTGAGTACTTGAATTCAGGCATTCATTCCATGAGAAAATAAAAGCTGAAACCACTTGTACCATGTGCACAACGAAACAAGTCAAGTTGACACTCAAGCTGTTCAATTCATGCAAAATTAATTTATTTCTGAGAGCTTTGTTCACACCTTCTCTGGCAAAGAGAAACAGATTGAAAACATACCAAATCAGAAAATAGTCAGCTTCCTATTGAAATAATTGAAAATTTTCAATACAGGAAAAAAAATTCGAAAAGACAACTTTCACTCCTTAAAAATGATGTCCAAGAGAATGTAAGAATTGAATAGTATGTAATAAATAAAATTAATTATTTGTTGCTTTTATATTTTCAAAAAGAAAGAGGCATAAAAAGAAATAAAACAGCCATGATTTCATATATAAATTTGCAATGGTTGAGTCTTATCAAGCAGAGGCAGTTTACATTGTGTCCAGATAAATCTGTGATGTGATTATCACTGATGACTGTCTTTGCCAAATTAGTCCTTTCATAAAGATGATGGGAAAATCAAGATTAAACCTATGTCTTTCTCATCAGTTTTTCCCTTTTATTTGTATAGGGGTAGTAAATATTTTTGAGTGCTTCAAACTCTTCTTGAAAATGAACAATTCTTACATCATCAGAAAGTTTTCCTCAGTATCACATCTTTAAAAGGAAAGAATTAGGAAATCTAGCTTCAAAGCCTGGCTTTATCCTGTTGGGCCTCCCTACCTCCCTACCTTTACAAACTGAGGGGGTTATGTTATTTTATCTCCTGAGTCGCTTCCAGTTCTGGAAGGGTCTCCACAATTCACCTAGATACTTTAAGATATTTGAACAATTTCAGGAAAACTTTGGATCATACTGAACAAAGTTTCCATGGTATCCATATGGAAGTACAGAAGAAAACTTGCAAACAGTTGCTGCTCATTACAGCTGATATGCTATAAATGGTTGTTGGCACTGAGACCAGATGTCACGGAAAATCCAGCATCATTAGGAAGCAATGGGTGGGGAAGGGACCTATGTGTGAGAATGTCAGTAGAATCTATTTAAAAACCAACCTCAAAGTGATTGCGTTGTAAGAATTTAGAGATAATCTCATATGAAGATTAACATAATAGATTGCATTTAATATGGCTATTTCTCAAATTTTGAACATTCATTACAAATATTAAATTTCCTATACATTGAAATGGCAAGGTGTACTGGACCGTAATAGTGAATAACTAATGTATGTATTGTCCTTAAAAAGCACAGAGCTCCTATGATAAAAATCCACAGATAGTGTTATAAGATATGACTTAGTAGCCTTACAAAATTCATCTGAGAGATGAAGGACCTAACTAATTATCACCAGGAGTTTGTGAGCTTCCCACATCCACACAGACAGTTAGGGCAAGGAAATGAACCTGTATCTTCACATTTTTTTCTAAATCACAATGATGCCCATTTCTCTTATACGGCTGTGCCCCATAGTCAAATGTGGCTGCATTGGAAGATCTGTGTTTCTGCTCTCACCTGTCTCGTCCATCTTAGGAAGTCAAGAGAGTGAAATGGTAGCAAATTAGCACATGGTGGGGGTCCTTGCTGAAGAGGGGGTCACAATTAGTAATTCCTTCCTTAGGAATTCAGAATTTGAATTAACCATTGTGGAAATGAATTTTTGTAGTTACAATATAATTTCAAGTTGGAGGTTAGTGGTAGTGATTCAAGAAAAATCAGAATAAATATGCCTGCCTTGGTTAAAATGTTGCTTTCAAACTTCTCTGTGATTTAGCCTCCTATAACCTCACAGAACACAATAACAGGACTATTCAAACTGATATATTCCAAAAAAGTTATATAGAAATCAAATTTCTATATTTTTAGTGTTTCTTTAGAGCTCACCATTTAAAGCAATCTCGTGGTGAAACATTAGAAAGCAGATAATCATTAAATAAGTTCAACAATCATTCTAATTTTTCAACTTGCCTTCCACAATTCTGTATTTTAGGCTTGCCCAAAAGACATACATAAATGTAAAGCTATTTCAGTGCTATTAATTTAAAATATGTATATTCCCTTTGAAATAGGCCTGCCTTTTTCTGTACATAGCTGCAGCTGAACAGTTGTCATGGTAAAAGGTAAAACACTGATTCAGATGGATTTTCATTTTCCTAGATGACTCACAAGGCCCTGCAGTGAAGCCTTTGAGGTCATCTCTAATGAGTACTTACCCCAGTCATTTAGAGGCCATCCATGGTGAAACTGTGGCCGCCATTTCTTCTGAATTGGCAGAAACGTGGTGTTTAAGCATAATACACACAGCCCTTCCCAGAAGCTTTCAATTTAGTGATAAGAATAAAAGCACATTAAATTTTTTAAAAGTTTATTCACTCATGTCTTTGGCATTTGCTCAACTAACTTCAAAACCATTTGACTTAAAAATCTCAAAATGTCTGTGATTTCTTAAGTGATTGGAACTCTTTCCTTGAATGAGTCTGTGGTTGATAAATTAGGTCAGATGTGAATTAGCAGACTTCTCTGATATCTCAGTGCTTTTAACTATGAAGGTCACAAAGGAACAGAATCAACTGTTGCTTACAGTTTGATATGTTTTATCCAAATTACTTATTCCATAAATAAACAGTTGGAAATTATGCCTTGATTAAATTAGGAGATGCATGGATGCGATGGACCATAAATTTCTCATTGTGAAGGTAAATGTCAAATGTAAATAACTGAACCTGATTAGATACACTAGCAACCGATAAACAACCAGAGTTCCAAATAACTTCAGATACAATGTTTTACTGAAAGTTATTTCAGCATGGATCTTTTCCATATTCTTCAGACATCTTTGTCCCAAATTCCAAATTAAATTATGTGCTTAGTATTGAGAAAGATCAAAACCCTCTCAGCCCTATGGTGCCACAAAGGTTTCTTCACATTTACCAATTGTCATAATAGTGGTGAATCTGATGGCAGTGACAGCAATAGCCTGAAGAAGTCTGGTAATTAAAACTTATTTACCCACACTCTGATTTCTTATAGATTTAACCTAATTTCTTGTAAGTTCTGATTATGGGTTTTTGCTATTTTGCATGGCTGGCTTAATTAATAAATTAAATTCTGGTTTGGGCTGTGTTTACACAAGGTCAAAACAACCAACAGAACTGATTAATTTGATAAGAAGAAAATAGCTAATTTGATGAAAAATATGAAATTTCTTATCTGTCAACATAAGTAAAATCAATTTGATTGATTGAATTTTTAGATTTCCAGAGAATAGCTTTGGCTCTTGTAAAGACCCTTGTTTCCCAACTTTTTTCAGTCTGAGACACAGACTCTAAATTCACTGGTTCCTATCCCAAAGTGAGAAGATGTTGAACTGCTTTCCAATATGTACACTAATCCAGCCACATATTCATCCAGAGAGCTGGGTGGTGTAGACATCACTGTATAAAACCAGGCTGCTTTTCCTAACCATCTTCTCCCTTTATTTCTTAAAATCCACAAAGCTGTGGGGGGGAGGGGAGCCCAGGGAAATTAAAGACTTTGTCCTGGTGCTTATTTTCAAAGTACCAATGTGTCTTGATGCATTGGTTGGGAAACAATGGTGTAGACACAGCCTTAGTCCAAGACTGAATTCTCAGTCCTCAAGCAATGATAACTGCCCAAGAAAATAAAATATATCTTTCTCATGGTATTTTAAGATGGGAAAATAAATAGATAAGTATTGTTTTAGATCACGCTTAGAAAAAAATGTACATTATGTTTTTAAAATCTGACTTATAAGAAAAAAGTTAACTATAACATTTGGCAAATAGTAGTATACTCTTTATGCCTTTAAGAGTAAACAGATTCTTAAAGGCAGCAATTTTAATACATAATTCAGGGTAAGTCTCCAAAATTTGTACAGAAACTGTTTGGAAACATTGAAGAATCAAAATCACTACATTTGGGTCCAAACTCTTAAAGTCAACTAGATTTAATTTGCACAGTTTCATTTGCCAAATGTCTGTAGATTGGCCCAAATTTTGTTATCGTTCTGCCAGCTTTCCTTCTGCTGAAAATGTCTGTGCTCTGTTAGGCTTCTAAGTCAACTGTGGCCAAGTCTGTACCTTGAGGGTCTTTGGAAACATGTGAGCAGGTCAAGACAGGTGCTCTCGTTCATTGGAGCTCCCCACTACCCAGTATCTCTCCAGTACATTTATGCATCTGTCTGAAGCCTGCACACATGATCGTTCTCAATCATTTTCTAACCATATTTTCTCTGGGATTTAGGAAGGGCAGTCTCCAGGAGAGATAACAGTGCATGACTTTTTTTTTTCCTCCACTAATCTTATAAAAATGCTGTTAGTTTTGAGTAGTCACTTAAAATAGGTTCTAACTTCAGTCTCTCTTTTTTTTTCTTTCTAAATAAAGCCTGAGAATTTGCTTTTAGCTAGCAAATCCAAGGGAGCAGCTGTGAAACTGGCTGACTTTGGCTTAGCAATAGAAGTGCAAGGAGACCAGCAGGCATGGTTTGGTGAGTGGGGCCCTCCTTCTTGCTACCAACTTGCTTTCCAACTCCTGGCGCCTCATTCCCCTTCCCAGCCAAAATAAAGTAGATATGTTCATTCTAGTAACATCTTCACTAACTTTAAGTTCTTTGACTTTTAAGATATTAGACCTGACATCAAAATTGTATATAATTAAGAAATAAGTGAAGGGGAAAATATTAATGGGAAAACAAGAACATGTGTCCTTTTTTAACGACAAATGAAAAAAACATATCCTGGTACTAAGGATTAATAGGAGTTTCGCGATATGGAAAGAATACTTTTTTTATTTAAGAAAAAGTTGATTGGGTGCGTACAACCTTACGTGATGCTAAAAACTGCAATGTAAATAGTAGGTACTCAGAATGTACCAAATATTTCACATATTTTGTTATTGGTGAATTAGAGATTTTTAGTAGCATACCATACAGCCCTGGGTTTGATCCCTAGCACCACAAAAAAGAAAAAGGTTTTAGATATTAAAAGTCATATACTTATATGTATTTGTGTTTTGTCTTAATTATCGCCTATTTTTTCAATGTGCCAGTTTTTCACTAAAACTAATACTTTGGAAATTTCTGTATGATGAAAATTCTATTTCTTTTTGTAAAAATTCTTTTTCCTTATCATAAAAGCCAGAACCAACACTCCTCTAACAAAAGTCAGGCTAACAAGAAGAAATCTTGACAGATTTATTTAATCAAAGTGTTATAAAGGGAACACCTAAAGACCTACGGAAAACTTTCTATGTTTACACATGGGTCTGTGAAAAATGGACAGACGTGTAGACATGTGATGGGATGAACAGGATTTGAGCTGATGAGAAAGGAGAGGGAAACCCACCACGGCCTGCCTGTCTTTTCAGCTCTTGTTTGCTTCTGTGTGGCATTCTTCCCTCGCAGATATAGGTTAGGACCCCTTCCAAAATGTGGCCTTAGGCTCCATTGTCAGACAAGCTAGGTCAGAGGATCTTACACAGGAAAACAGAGGAAGGGTAGAATAATCATCGTAGTATTTATAGCTGGCTTTGTAGGAGTGGATTCCAGTTTCTATGGCCATCCTCAGGGAAGGAAGCAAAAGGAAGAAGAGCATGAGCAGGTGGAAAAGATCTTGCTTCTGAGCCTCTTTCCTTCAGGTCAAAGTGTGCAGTGAACCAAGGCACTGTACTTTGGGTTATTATGTTCTGAATTCCAGCATTTACAATCAAGAAAGAAATCAACTCTACAACTGAGCACAGTGGCTCACACCTGTAATCCAGCTACTCAGGAGGCAGAGATTGGGAGGATTGCAGTTTGAAACAAGCCTGGGCAAAAAGTTAGAGAGATTCTATCTCAACAAATAAGGTAGGCTTGGGAGCACATGTCTGTGATCCCGGCTATGTGGAGGCATAGGCAGAAGGAGCACAGTCTGGTCCAGTCCTGGGGCAATAAAGAGAGACCCTATTCAAAAAGTAACTGAAGCCAAAGGGGCTGGGCGCACACTTTAAGTGCTAGAGCAACTTCCTAGCAAGTATGAGGCCCTGAGTTCAAACATCACTATTGCTGGAAGGAAGGAAGGGAGGGTGGGAGGAGGGATGGAGGAAGGAAGGAAATTAACTCCAAATCATTTTGAATTATGGTATTTCTAGCCAGGCTTATAGGTTGTTCCAATATGCAATGTGAATAAGTTATTTTACCCATTGCTTTTCTTTGTGCCTCTCTCTCTGCCATTTCCCAGTTAACCCATTTTCCATGTACAGTCATAAAATACAACCTTTCCCTGAGCCTCCGTCTTATTTCTCAACCAACTTAAATGTGTTGAGGCTAATTTTTTTAAATGCCCTTTACTTCTGATTTCTTTTCCTGTGAAGGACAACAAATAGAAAGAGAACCCAAAACTGCTAACTTCTTTCGTTTTCTGTACAAAACTGTTTTGTATGCCTCGTCACAAACATCCTCTAAGATGTCCACATAGCTGCAGGGATCTGCCTTGTCTTTCTCACCTGCCCAGTTAAGGTTAGAAGGTGGCCTGGAAGTCTCTCCAACAACTTTGTGGCAGTCTAATTCAGGACTTTATTTTCTGCTGCCTGTCCTATGTTAGTGGTCATGACTGTTAATTCTTGCAGGAGATCTCTTCCAAGCTCAATGCCGTCCTTTATATTGTCTTATCACAACTCCTCCCCCCATGATTGTAACACCACCTAACTTGCCATTTGCTCTGTCTGATTTTGACAAGTGAATAAGACTATCCTAGTTAACTGTAAACTGAAAGACAGTAATAACTCATCTTAGTTGGAGGTTCAGATGTATCTCTATATTCTAAGGAAGAGGATGGTTGATACAGATAAAGAATATACAGTAGTTATTAGGAGTTAGACAGGAAGTAGTGAGGCTATCAGAGAATGAGCAGAGCAAATTACTGGAGATGCATATTAAGAAGCTCTGATCCCCTAGGAGCCAAACTTTTGTATCAATAACTATTCACCATGCAGAGTACCTAAGAGAGGCCTCCAAGAGGTGCTCTGGGAGTACAAGGGAGGAGGTATGAAATTCTGCCTCTGGGGAAAGCTACAATTCAGGCGTACCACTTATGGTTGCCTAAGAGGTGAGTGGAAATTTGTCCACTGGTATATGAAGAGATGAAGACATTCCAGATAGAGGGACTAGTATATGCAAAATTTTAGAGGCATGAAATGATTTTTCTATTTCAGGAATAACAAGAAGTTTGATCCAGTGAAAGCATAAAATATACTGGAATTAGTGAAAGTTGATGAGATAGGGATGAGTTTTATGTCCTTTTGAAGGGTTTGGCTTTTATTTTAGAGGTTTCAGGAATCTGGTAAAGAGTTTTCAGTGTAGAAAGACATAATTAGGTTTAAGTTATACAATGATGATTTCAGTAGCAGTATGGAGGATGGTTCAAGGATAATTAACCTGAGAGCAAGGACCCTGTTAGGCTAATGCAGTCATTCCAGTTATGCATGTTGCCAGTTTGAAGTAGGGAGTAGATAGGACCAAGCAAGTTCCACACAACATATAGCAGACAGGGTCTCTGAACTCTAGGGAAATCGTTTTAGAAGAAACGAAAGTCACAGACATTGGGTTCAAAGAAAGGATCCCAGTCCTGCCGTGAGAAAAACAGGCCTCACTTCATGAGAGACTTGTGGTATAAGGCATGATACTAAAATTGGAATCTAGACCCAGGGGTAATCCCCAGAACTGGGTCTAAGGCAGTATTGATGGGATATCAAGAATAACACAGAAGCCTTTATTATCAGAGCTGGGGTTCAAACTTCACCAAACAACACTGGCTTGATTACTACAAGAGTGTCAAACATGGATTCCCTAAATCTTTCTTATTTTGAGCTCTGTTTTATATTCTGCTAGATTGCATGTAGTTTGAGAGTACTATATGGAAAAAAAAATTCTCCTTTTTGTATCAGAATACCTGAATTTATACCCTGGCTCTAGCTCTTTTTTTTTTTTTTTTTTTTTTGTCCCTGGCAGTCTTAGGGTTTGAACTCAGGGCCTCATGCTTGCTAGGCAGGCGCTCTACCACTTGAGACCCTTTTTGTGTTGGGTAGTTTTGAGATAGGGGTCTTGTAAACTATTTGCCTGGACTGGCCTCTGACTGGGATATTCCTGATCACTGCCTCCCTAGTAGCTAGCATTATAGGTGTGAGCCACTGGTGTCCAGCCCCTAACTCTGACTCAGCTATATGACTACTTAACTCTGTGGGGTCACTCTCCTCTTTCTGAGTGGGGGTCACTCTCCTCTTTCTGAGTGAGGGTCATAAACAGCCTCACAGCACTGTTAGGAGACTGAGTGAAGTAGTCATGGAGCATAACTAGGCTGTAGATAATGTTCAATAAGTTTTCAAAACCATCCTGGTAGGAAGCACGGAATCAGTTCTTCGCTATTCAGTGAAAGTTCTTTAGTGAATCAGCGAATGAAAAAGTGAATACCTTGTTAACGAAAGCAATAGCATCCAAATATAAGCATGTCAGTTTTCAAATTGTGACAACTGATTTCTAAAAGCAAGCTGATCCCACAGAAACCCTGGTAGATCAATAGTTAAGATCTCAGTAAGGTAACTGTGTTGACTTTTTAAAAACAAAAAAGATATAGCTTAAAGTATAAGGAAATCTAGCATTTCTACAGTATAGAAACAGTTTCCAAGCTTAAGAAAATTTACATTTCTTTTTTTCTTTTCACCTTTCTCAAGTTCAAGTCAATCCACATTGTAACCAAAGGTAGCATGTGGCATACTAAAGTACTTTTGGATGTGCTGTCAGACATATTTTAGGTATTAGAAGTAAAGATATAGTTTCATATGAGTGTCTAATTTTGATTTATATTCATCATTATTTACCATCATGGTCTCATTTATTTGGCATTTTAGTTTTATCTTTTAAAATGTAATGTCAATATTTAAGGGATAAAGAAAATAGAGGATTCTTAGGTGTAATGCCAGAGCTTCAGGCTTTTATATAATTTTATTTTAAGATATGTGATGATGTATTATAAATAATAAAAATTTATAAAATATATAAACAATATAATGCATAATATAACAAAAGTTGCTTATTGTATTTTCCTTTTTATTCTCATTTTCAAGTCTAAAATGTTCATTTTTCAATTTATTCAGGACTCACTTCCTAAGCCCAATCTATTTGAATACTAGCCAAAAAATTCTAGAAATCACACCCTATGTCACAGTATTTAATAAGATGGCTAGAAAATTTCTCAAAGGAAAATATCCAAATATGGCTTTATTTCTCCTATAGAATATTTGTAACATTTTAATGCTTCTGGAAAAAGAAAAGGGATAACTACCAAAATCCTGCTTCATAGAAAAATCACTTTACTTGGTGGCTATTATGTCTCTTGTTTTAAATATTGAGGGTTTTTTTTTAATGGCAATCTGCTATAATTGATATACTTCCAGAAGTAAATAATTGTTTCTCCTTGTTTGATCTGTTTTGACATACCTATTGGTTTTTCAGAG